GTGTTAAATGTGCGCCGTCTGCGGCTCCAAACTTTAATTTAAACAGCTGATCAAATACGCCTGAAGCAAGCACCGCCCATCCGACTCTCATGAACACTGTCAGGGCCTCGTCCACCTTCTAAACTGTTCGGAACTATTGCACCGACGTTGAAAGCACAATTTGATAGATCTAAGTTGCGACCTATGGGAATGAAGGCTTGGATATTTGATCACTGGCACTGGGTCAAATGTAAATGGAGAAGCATTTACTTTTCGCACACCGGCTCCATCGGATGTATGCGGACCAGCTGATCGGTTTATTTAAACCCATTGCATGTCGTACGACAGTGGTAATCTTCACTAACTTTCTAGAATCGAGGACAACTTCCTAATTAAACAAATAATTTGAGGACTTGGAGCGGTGGAACTCCATATGTAAAATTAGTTTTGTGCTTGCAAAGCCATCAATTTGACATGCGTTACGTGTCACTCAAATTCACAGGACTATGGTGAACCAAGACTACTCCGAGTTGTGTTGACTTCGCCAAAGAAGCAGAAGCTGTCTTGTTATCGGAAGCCCGCTTCTGGAATCGGTCATATTCCTTTCGTATATTCCCTGGTATTCCGTGGAGCCAGCGCAGACAGGCGAAGCACGACTCGGACATAAACCGGAAGAAATCCGTAGACAGGACCATTTTCTAGGCGGTGTTTTAGATGCTGGAATTCACGATGAGCGAGAAGCGAACACTTGAGATGAGGAACAGTGGCGGTACAAACGTGATACCCACTTCATGGAAAACGACATGTCGCAATCGAGCACTAGGCTGCGCCGCTCGCCAAACTACAAAGTTTGTGGTCCGTGGATTGTGAACGTGGTCAATCAATCTAACTAATGGTCAGCAATATTGCTGGAATGTATATATGCTTGTTGCAGTGACCTTCTTTTCGGGCTCCGGATTAAAGCAGCATCCCCCGAGCAAACACATTAGAGCAGCCACTTAGCCGCAGCATTTTCCGACTTGAGTTCGGATAACTTCGATCGACTATCCAAAGTAACTGTCAAACACAGCCCTGTACATTCTATATAGAAAAATAAAAATAGCAAATCATGGGATCCATGGGTCTGACAAGTTGAGTTCTTCACCGCCACAGCAAAAGATAATTATTTTCCGACCTTTCATCGGCCGACACATTTTACACAAAAAACGCATTCTCTGATTCATTATAAAGAATTGGGCAACTTTCCTGAATGTACATCTATGCACAATGACTTATGAACAGGCAAGTCAAAATTTGGACACGTTAGGCGGCACAATCTTAGGACATCCCATTGGTTACAGATGCTTGGTAACACTCCGAAATTACTAACGCTAAGTAGTGATATATGGGAAGTCCTTACCCCAAAAAGATCTCCGTGACAAGGGTGTTTTGTTATCTTACATTACCACAGCGACCCACATTGCAGGTCTGTGGTCTTTCCGGAAACGCTGATGGTAGACTCACTTTGGTACATTCCGAGAATGAGATGCAATGACACTTGCCTTTTAGCCGTTGTTTATCGTTTCCGAACATCTGACCCAGTGATGGACTCCTGCCTGAATATAGCCTTGGAAATTATCCTACGACAATGATACATACATCTTGCCTTCTCAGGCGACCTTCATACTCAACATCTGGAAGAGCTCGCATTAGCGGAAGAGCTATTTACAGTTGACCTGCATTAGTACATTAAAGGCATTCTGCTCTTCAGCCAGCTCAGCTGGCCCATCAGATTAAGAGGAGTAAATAAACAATCTGTGCTTGATTTAGTGCTCATGAACGAAGTGTTGATGATTGAGCAACTAAAGATAGAGCTTACTGGGGCGGAGCGACCAGGTTATCAGAATTTATGACTGCATGTGTTTTGCTGAGTATCGAGAAGGATATGGTAAACTCTTTTGCAAAATTCTCAACTATGATATCCTGGCAGAACTTGTGAGTGATGCCATCTGGGAGTTGCCGACTATTGTTACATTGATAGTCTTTGGATGGAGTTTGCTGACTAGTTCAGTGAGCTGATTAAATCTGAATCGGCGAACAAGACCCTAGGTTCCGCAAAGACACAAGCATTCGTTCGGAGAAAAACCCGAAAATATATGGTAGTAAGAAACGCCGCGTAGCATTTGTATGGAGCGAACCCGAGCCCTGACACCTGGAGCAACTAAGTTGATCATCATAATCACTGTGCCCCACTTGTATGTGAAGACAAATTAGTACATCAACAGGGGCAAGCGGAAAGTTGTGTGCTATAAAAAATCTTCTATTCAGACACGTGAAACGTGATGGGCCTACACTAATATCAGCACCTATATGTGTTTAAACCGCTTTTCCCTTTGAACTATGGTTGTGCTATGTAGCTTTTGAGCTACTGGGAAGAATACATTATCATTGAAAGCCACATTTTTTGTTAGTAAAGGTAAACAGTTACTCTAGTCAGGGTTAAAGGCTATTGTGCAGTTAGCCAATTGTCGGAATTCCGTTTTCCTCCACTCATGAGCCCGCTGATACAAATACCCATGCACCAGCTATCGAAACGGTCCATGTATTTGTATTTTCGATGCGTTGTACAGATATGCATTATACAGACATAGAAGCTAGTCGTACTTTGGTGCTGTACAAGATCCCCTAAATGAACGACCGTTTCACTTATAATTCAACGACGACCGTGACTTCGGAAGATACGTGGGCCTTGTCGAACAAAACAGTATGCTCATCGGCAACTTGCACGCGAGTGATGGTTAAAATATCCACCGAATAGCCACGAAACAAGCACTTAATGTTATAGTATTTTGATATTTTATTTGTTTTGATATAGCACACGCCGAAGTTAGGGCCAAAGTAAAAAATAGGCCACCTGTGCGTACAAAGTCTGTGATGAAGTCATGCAACGATTGTGCTCCAGGGAATCAAGAGGGAGCATTCGGATTTGTTCAAACGGGTGAAGGTTGGTCTGATTTGAATAGCTCTATTTCCTAGCTCAAATAATCAGAACGAGGAAAGTGGAGTTGAATCCGTAAGTCTAAGTCATGGAAGTACTTTCTCCTACGAAAGTGCTATTGTTTTGCAATCCCAAAATAAGTCAGCAACTTTGACGCCATCGCTTGGACGACCGCACGTTCAACTGTACTTCATGCACGACACAAAATTGTGCAAAGGACAACATGTGTGGATAGCGGATTGGAGAATAAGAAAAAGGGCGCTTAACGCTGAAACTGCGAAGAAACACAAAGCAAGATTTCGCTATAAAGAACGTTGGTTGCATAGAAGCTACGACTATATGATGAACAGATTTCTCATCCGTATCTTCATCGGTCGTGAATAGAAGTATGAAGTGACGGTTTGAATTACGATTATTTGGATGATTCGGTAAGAAGAACTTAGTGTTGCATTAGTGTTGCATATTACAATTTTTTAAATCATCATCCATAGAGTCAATATACACTTGACACCATTTTGCTCCGTTCTCTCAGAACTAACTTAGTCTACTGCAGAGGGTAGAAGTATGAGTGTTTATAGCTAGTTATAATAGATGGAGTTTTCTATCCAACTATCCATGGAAAAAACCATGGAGGGCGGGAGAGCCTATGGTGCGCTGAGGATTGTCGTGGCTAGATCCTGACAGATGGTCTACCCACTGCTGCTACTGTTGCGCCATAGTCTCATGTCCTGGGCGCCTCCACTTGGCGACCGCTGGGTGGGAGTTGGATTTCGCCCTTCTCCCTGCTAAGATCCAGGATACCAATCCGCATGGGTCAGCTAACTTACCATGTGCTAGACCCGCTGCCTTTCGGGTGTTCATTTGATCGAAGGCTTTGGCTGAGGACCCGAGTCGTTCTCCTGTCAAAATTGGGCGCCCTGGCAGTATACTAGTCCATCCTCTCCGGAGGTTAGGAAGTGGTCGATGACCCTCTTCCCGTAAAACCTAGCCATGGGAGACAACAAGTTTACGGGTGATATTCTCAAAGCCCGATTGGCGTAGAGCACGAGGGCCACGCATTGTCTCTGACGGTGGGAGGACACTCCGGGTGTTCAATGGTTTGTTACTGCCCGCCTCAAGCCAGGCAGCCCCTGGTCAAATTGGTGCAAACCCGCCAAAAACCCACTTGCGTCTGGCCGTGGTCGCAGGTGCGTATCCAATTACGGTCGCAAAACATATGATAATTGTTCCATAACCTCAAAGGCTGCGTGTGACAGCCGTCAAGCAGATCCCCATCCGTCTCTGCAATCACATTCCCGAGCTGGATCTGCTCTCCACTGCCTTATGGGTCAGGCTATTGAGCCAAAGGCTCCGGACGGAGTCCCTCAAGCAAACCTCCAAACCACCCACTGCCTTGTGGGTCAGGCCGTCGCAACGAGACTGGACCTTAACGTGGTGCGACGGTTTGCGTACCTCATTGACCCATTGAGCTATACTGGGTGATGCCTCCGAGCATCTTGAGAGCTACTCCTACCAGGTTGGTCAATGGTGAGAGGTCAGACAAACTCAGTCTCCTGGTCCTCCAGGTTGGGGGTTTGAAATGGGATGGCGTCCATTTCTGTAAAACTAAATCACTGCCACCCCGCTGCCTTGCGGACAGGCTTTTAAGCCAAAGGCTTTGGATGAGGACCCTAATCGTTCTCCTGTCTAGGTCTGGGCGCCCTGGCAGTATCCCAGCCCACATACAACCATGACATTTTCTTCAAACATAAACTTCATCCTGCATCGGCCGTCGCGCAGATTATCAAGGGTCGCCTTATCTGCTGCATACAGCAGGGCAGATAAGCGAAAGCATGCTACTGCTGGCGCCTCCCTTCTTTCTTTTCCACCTTTTTCTCTTACTCCCATCCCGGCCCCCATTACTAACCTTCCTTCTATAATTCCCAGCTTAATTGACAGCAACCGAAGTGCTACTGGAGTAGAACCATCTGCAGCCACCATCCCACAGCATCTATCGGACGCCTATCGGCAAAAGTCCCTTATAAGACCACGCTGTCCCGTTTCCATGGCGACCTTCAACGTCCGCACTCTAAGACAAACAGGTCAGCAGGCTGCACTCGCACGCACCTTGGACACACTGGGTGTTGATGTGTGTTGTGTGTCCGAAACTAGGATTAGTGACCCTAACGGGGTTATTGAATTGACTGCACCCGGCTTATCCTCTCGTTATTGGTTGCACGCATCCGGAGACGCCGATGCGGCACTCACCGGTCAAGCTGGTGTAGGTATCATTCTCAGCTCCAAGGCTGAGTTATCGTTGGTTGATTGGATTCCGGTGAACAGTCGTTTATGTGCAGCCCGTTTGACGACATCAGCTAAGGTGAATTTGCGAAGTAAAACAAAACGCTGTTTGTTTGTGATTTCTGCTTATGCTCCCACGGACTGCAGTTCTAATGCAGTCAAGGACACTTTCTATCACGAACTGAACACGCTGCTACGCAGTGCTACTAGTTCAGATATTATAGTACTTGCAGGGGATATGAACGCACAAGTAGGGCGTCTGAGCTCTTCAGAAGCTCAGCTGGGTGGTAAGTATAGACTTAACTCCGAACGGACTGACAACGGCGAGCGTCTGCTGCAACTGTGTGCGGAGCACCAGTTGTTTCTTACTAGCGCTGCTTTTAGACACAGTGGGCGCCGAAGTGCCACTTGGCGTCCACCTGTAGCTGGTCAGCGATGGACCTAAATTGACCACATAGCCATAAGTTACAGGTGGCGCGGTTCCATTCTGGATTGCCGCTCGTACTGGAGTACCTGTGTCGACTCTGACCATGCCTTGATGCGCTGTCGTTTCTCCATGAACTTTACCGGAAGGCGCACAAAGCGTCTCCCCCGATTGGCAACGGAGAAATTGTCCCAGCCCTCTGTCAGGCAAGCCTATCAAGAAGCACTGCATAGCGAACTCTCGCTGTCTTGTCCTAATGATACTGAACTTCAGTGGAATAAGATCTCGGCCACTATGCACGACGCAGGAGCATCTGCTTGTGGCACTATCAGTCGTCATCGCACCAGTCACTGGATATCCGAGAGGTCCGTGAACCTTTTGGAAGCTAGAAGGCACCTCCCGGCTGGTTCTGAACACAATGTGACCAGACGGGCTATTAGGCGTGAACTAAAGCGGAGCCTACGTGCTGACAAGGAAGCCTGGTGGACCAGTCGGGCCCAAGAAATGGAGGAGGCAGGAGCAGTAGGCAATTACCGCAAGCTCTTCCAGCTAATACGCACCACTGGTCCGAGAAAACCAGGCGTCAGTGAGACAATCAGGGACAGCGCGGGTGCGCTGATACACAATAAGGAGCACCGTATGGCTCGTTGGGCTGAGCACTTTGAACATCAGTTCAGCTGGCCCCCTGCTCCCGGACCTCTTCCTACTCAGGTGATGCAGGACGTGCCATGGACGGTTAGTTTAGAGCCACCGTCGGAGGCCGAAGTCCGAAACGCGATCACAGCCCTCAATCGTTTTCGTGCCGCTGGCCCGGATTCCCTACCACCTGCACTATTTAAGGATGGTGGTGAGGTCCTCTGCAAAGCACTGACCTCCCTATTCGAACGTATCTGGAACGAAGAGAGTGTGCCGGCTAATTGGAGCGAATCGATTATAGTGGCAATATACAAGAAGGGCAATCGCACAGACTGTGCGAACCACAGGGGTATTAGCCTAACGCCAGTTGTGACAAAATTACTGGCCTCGATTATCGTTCGTCGCCTCACTTCAGAACGGGAATCTCGGATTAGAGAAGAGCAGGCCGGTTTTCGCCAACGACGTGGCTGTATAAACCATATATTTACTTTGCGGCAGGTGCTAGAGCAGCGCCACGCATACCGCAGACCGACAATAGCTGTGTTCCTCGATTTCAAGAGTGCGTTCGATTCAGTCGATCGATCGATTCTGTTCGAAATACTTGCGCGGAAAGGTGTTCCCACGAAATATGTGAACATCCTTCGTGCTCTATACTCGAACACTAGAGGCCGCGTCAGGGTCTATGGTGCCCTATCGGATAGCTTTTCGACTACAAGTGGCGTTCGACAGGGTTGCCCGATTTCCCCATTTTTGTTCAATTTCATCGTGGATTCTATCATGGAGTGTTCCCTTGCGGAATCTCACGATGTAGGTGTTGAAGTGCTGCCTGGTGAACGGTTAGTTGATCTAGATTATGCGGACGATATCGTCTTGCTTTTCGACAATGTTGAGGCGGCACAATCAACCCTGAATAGCCTATCCAGAGTGGTCCCATTATTTGGTATGCACTTCGCACCTTCAAAATGCAAAGTGTTGCTGCAGGACCACCAGCCACTCGATGACCCCTTGACGCTTGCTAACGAGGAACTCGATGTGGTTGATCAATTCACTTATCTTGGCAGCTGCGTCAGCAATGATGGGCGCATAGAAAATGACGTTAACTCACGCATTGCAAAAGCCAGAGCTGCGTTCTTGAACCTGCGTCATCTTTGGCTACAGAAGGGAGTTTCCCTCCGTCTGAAAGGCCGTGTATACAAGGCCACAGTGAGGGCCGTTCTGCTCTGTGGTAGTGAAACTTGGCCCCTTCGGTCTGAAGATCTGAGGCGCCTTCAAGTCCTTGATCATCGTTGTTTGCGAAGCATTGCTGGTGTCGGATGGCACCAGCGTGTCCGCAACGATGATGTGCGAAGGCGAGTACTAGGGGGTGATGATCATGCTAGCTCCCTAGAACAACAGATAGCACTGAATAAGTTACGTTGGCTCGGGCACGTGCTACGTATGCCTGGTCACCGCTTACCTAGGAGGGCCTTGTTCAGTCTACTAGGTGTAGGATGGCGCAAGGCTCGAGGTGGACAGAAGTTGACTTGGCAGCGGGAAATGAAGTCACTGACGACCAAACTGGGTGCCGTTGGTCGGTCTCGCCTTCCGGGTTGGAGTCCACGTGACTCACCTTGTGCTTGGCTCGAGACTTTACAGGACCTGGCTCGCAACCGACACCAGTGGCGCGTCTGCTGTCGTCTCCTAATCGGATTGTCTGTTTAAAGTGTGTTTGGTGCTGAGTTATCTGCGGGGTAATGGCTGATTATGACGCGTGGCAGTGAAAGCCGCAAGGAAGCTGTCTCGCCGATGCCGCCTTATCTTTGCACGATAGCCAGCTGTTTGTGACGGTATGTTGTTAACACAAGGTGTAGGCGCCTTGACCCTGAATGTTTGCTTAGGGCATTAAGGTTTTCAGGTAAGTCCCCCTTCTCTCACTTTTCTTATTCTTTATTTCATAGGTCCTCGTGGTTGTATGGCAGCGAAGCATCAGTTCAAATGGCTGATGTACTGCTGTTGATGATGATGATGATGATGATGATTATGATGATGATTGTGGGTCAGGCTATTGAGCCAAAGGCTCCGGGTGGAGTCCCTCAAGCAAACCTCCGAAGGACAACGACCACCTCGCGTGCGATTGCCGACCAATGCAATCGTATGCCTGCGCGCAAAGCACTCAACATCGGGTGCTGGAACGTGCGCAGACTACTGGACTGGAACTCCAGCGAGCGCCCGGAGCGAAGCACTGCACTGGTCGCAATGGAGTTGGCACGCTAACACATCGATATTGCGGCGCTCAGTGAAACTCGGCTCGCTGAGCAAGGTAAGTTGCATGAAGCAGGTGCTGGCTACACATTCAACTGGGTGGGCAACGCCGCCTCAGCACCACGTGAACATCGGGTCGGATTTGCAATATCCGATCTCCTGAATGGCCAGCTGGTGGGTGAACCAACGGGCATCAGCGCGCGACTGACGACTGTTCGCTTACGACTCGGAAGATGTAAGTTTGCTACTTTTATAAGCACGTACTGTCCGACCATGTGTTATCCTGATGACACGCGTGCTCAGTTCTACACGGAGCTATCCTCCGTGATACGGTCTGTGCCGAGGAGCGACCGACTATTTCTGCTGGGTGATTTCAACGCGCGCGTTGGGCGTGATGCATCAGTGTGGACAGGTGTTATCGGTTCGCATGGCATTGGTTCAGCGAATGCGAACGGTGACAGGCTGCTCTCACTGTGTGCCACTCACGGCCTGACGATCACGAACACTCGGTTTGCACTGAGTGCGAACGATATAGCAACTTGGACGCACCCACGGAGTGGTCACGCTCATCTGCTAGACTATGTCATCGTACGTCAGCGTGATATGCGTGATGTGCGCATGACACGTGTACTGCGTGGAGCTGAGTGTGGCACTGACCACAAGTTGGTTCGGACCAAACTGTACATATATTTTCGTAAATCAACGTCTTGCACTCCCGCCGTGAATCGGCGTAAATTTAACATTCTCTCCCTCGGCACTGTGGCGAAACGTACTGAGCTGGAGAAGGCGATTACTGCACGCCTGCGTGATGTGGAATGCATAGCCACAGTGGGCGACCTGTTGCACCACTTTCCGGACCAGGTGACAGCTGGTGCCGAGGAGACCATCGGGCGCGCAAACGGTAAGCGGCCTGATTGGTTTGATGACAACAATGTGACGACTGGCGCATTGGTGTCGGAGAAGAATGCAGCATTTGCTGCACATGTGGCAGACCCCAGTGACTTGGGGAAGAGGAGTCAGTTTCGCAAACTTCGACGGCGACTGACCCGAGAGCTCCGTCGCATTAAAAATGCATGGTGGACGGAGAAGGCGAAGCAGATGGAATGCTACGCCGAACGCCGCCAACACAAGGAATTCTTTGACTCCTTGAAGGAAGTGTATGGACCGAGATTGGAGCCGCTGAAGACACTGATCTATGGTAGTTCAGGCGCTACCTGCAACCAGACTGCAGACATAATGCAGGTCCGGCGGAAACACTTTGACTGTCTCTTGAACAACCGTTCAGAGATCGACTGGCCTACATTGAACGGCCTGATGCAGCACGATGTGAAGGCGGATCTGGCGGATACGCCGAGACTGGATGAGACGCAGAGAGCACATGCTCAGCTGCGAAACGGCAAATGTGCCGGAGCCGACGGGATCCCACCTGAAGTATTGAAACACGGTGGACCCGCGTTGTTGACTGCGCTGCGCCACTTGGTGCAACGCGTGTGGATTGAGGAGGAGTTGCCTTCTGAGCTGAAGGATGCCCTTGTGCTACCACTGTACAAGGGCAAAGGTAGCAAGCAATGTTGCACGAATTATCGTGGCATCAACTTGCTGAGTTGTGTGGGCAAGGCGATTGCCCGAATCCTGCTCAATCGCCTCGTCAGTCAGGTTGTAGAACCAAACGTGGCGGAAGAGCGATGTGGATTTCGTTCGGGTCGCAGCACTATAAAAATGGTGTTTGCGGCTCGTCAGTTGCAAGAGAAGTGCAGAGAACGACACCAGCCTTTGTAGTCGCTTTTTGTTGATTTCAACAAGGCATTTGATACGGTGAACCGCGAGGCATTGTGGCTGGTGTTGGGTAAGTTTGGTTGCCCGCGTAAGTTGGTAAGTTTAATTGAAGGTCTGCACAGTGGTATGCGAGCGAGGGTGCAGCTGAGTGGAGAGACCTCGCATGACTTTACAGTTGTCCCTGGTGTGAAGCAAGGCTGGGTGTTAGCTCCTGCCCTGTTCAATATCTATCTTCATGCAATGTTGTCTTGTGCTTTTGATGCGGCTTGTGCTTACGGTGTTCGTGTGGAGCACCGTATTGATGGTGGGTTGCTGAACATCCGTCGTTTGGGTGCGAGAACTCTAGTCTGTGAGACAACTATCCGTAT